TGGTTGAAGTTGAAATTCTGTAGAACATTTTAACATACAATTCTAGAGTCTTACCTATAATCCAGATAAACATCATGGTGGACACATTGAGCACCACACCCAAGCTAATGAAGTAAACTCCACAAGGATCAGGAGCCAACAGCAGCAGGCCTTGTCTCATGGAGACATCTCTTACCACAGTTTTTTTTCTAAAACTTTTCTTTCTTGAATTTAGGGAGCTCTTCTGTATCAGACACAGGTGCAGACATTTCATAGCTTAAATGATTATTTTGTAGATTGAGATATCTTTTTTTTTTTTCCTTAGGGTCTGTCTCACCTCTTTATTGTCCTGGGTTCCCTTTCCCTGTCCTTGCAGGCTGGGATGATATGAGAGATAGTGAAGAAGAGAAACTGCTATGCAGATCACCACCCCCATGAGACATGTCTAAGCATCCCTTCTCAGGAGTGGTGCATGGATGCTATGCTATTGTATTACAGTGGGGTAGATTAGCATTGTAGCACCTCAAGTGTAACCATGGTGCTCTGCCCTGTGTTTCTCTGTCATGAGGGTATCTGCTAGTGCTTTACAAATCACCCATCCCTCACTGTGGGTACTCATCTCCTAGGACACACCAGTTATCCCTCATTATGATTTCAACTCCAAGAGAGTATAGAGTCAAGAACCCAAGAACTTCCATGAGACAGGAAGCCATAGCTAGAGAAAGCAGCATATTTGAGCTGATTGCATAACCTATTACATACATCACGTGTATGCACATCCTTTTCAAAATGGTACTGTACTGAAATTATCAGATTTCTTGTAAATGAATTATACATTTTGCAGAGAGGTACCACATCTTTTCATTTTCTAGGACTATATATCTGTATATGCCATTCAGTTTGAATTAAACTAAGTGAGAAAAATGGTCCCAAGAAATTATAAATACCAGGGTTATTTTCACTGTATTTTATGTGATCTAAATGTTCTTAATAACCTTATAATGAAAAATTTAAGCAATTTTCTTAAATGTATTTTCTATGGTATTGAATTTATAAATATAAATATTATTTGTTTCTTTAGTGCTTCTGTTATTAAATTTTCCAAAAATATGTAAGCATCTTATTATCAATGTATTCTCTGTCTAAAGAAAATGGTCCTAGGAGCTGGAGAGATGGCTCAGCGGTTAAGAGCACTGACTGCTCTTGCAGAGGACCTAGGTTCAATTCCCAGCACGCACATGATGGCTACAAACCATCCTTAACTCCAGTTCCAGGGGAATCCGAAACCCTCTTCTGACCTCTGTGGCATTGCCCAACACAGGTTTCCTCACATACATGGAGGCAGTACACTCATACACATAAAATAAAAATAATAAATAAAATATTAAAAAAAGAAAATGGTGCTTTGTTTAAATGCAATAAGACCCTCCCACAGAAATAGAAGTCTAATGCTTATCATTTACAAATGTGGTAGAACAAAATAGCATTTAAAGAAATTATGACTCCTTTGGCTAGGAAGCAGAAATAAATCACATTTTCTATATTATGTGGTAAGGACATAATAAAGAATTGAAACTAAGCTACTCAATAATTGCGAAAAAGAACAGAAATTACCTTGAGAAGACAGTCACCTCATTTTTTGTTTTAGACCATTAATCATGGTTATCCTATTCCTTAATATAAAAGGTCTCATGATAATAAAAGCAACATAAATTCAGTTCTTTATTGTGATCTCTGTTGGTTCCTTGATTTCAGCATAGAAAATCTCCTTAGATTAAAATGTTCTGTAAAATTGGCCAAACCTATAAGAAAATGATATCCATGAGTATTTATCTCTCTAACAGTACCCCAAACCATCCACTCAGCCACAGATACTTTAGGACCCTCCAGAGGTACAAATTTATTTTATTTCTTATGATCAAACAATATAGCTATCTATGAAAGGGCAAGCACTATACTATATCTGCTACTCCTGCCATGCATTCATCCATTGTACAACCAAACAACATTGATTTTTCTCTTACCATGATGTGGAAAAATACTGAGAAACTATTAAGACTTAGTTACGAAGCATTCACACAGAAGGCTCGTTTGTTGAAGGCTTGATCCCCACTAAAATGTTCACGAGGGTGTTAACCTAATAAACACACTAATCCCTTGACAGATTCATAGTTGAAAAGAAAAATCAGTAGGGAGTAGAAACTGTAGAAAGCAGTACCTAGTTAGATAAAAATGGGTCTCTGGGGGCCTGGCTTTAAGGGGTCTATCTTGTTCCCAACCCTCCTCCTTCCTTCCCAGACACCTTGAGGTGAGCATCTTCCTTTAGCATCTACTCCATCAAGGTGTTCTGCCTCACATGCAGCCCATTGTACTGGAGTTAGCTACCATGCACTGAAATCTCTGAAGTTGTGAGCCCAAATACTTCGTCACAGTAAAAAGAAATCTGACTAACATTCTAACATAAGTGAGTGAACCCTGAAACCAAGGTTCTAATGAGAAGAGGAGGAAACAAAGCAAAATGTATCTGAGAACAAGCCAGTAGAAACACTGAATTCATAGCATTATACCCAACATGCACATGGATTAAAATAGTGCATGGCATCCCAGAGCTATGCACAATTTTATATGTCAAATAAAACTGAATTTCATAAAAAGCAGGGCGAGTTGTCAGGAAAATAAAGATAACCCAAGTAATGAATCTAACAAAATGAGATTCAGATCTCACAGGGCAAAAAGATTCATATGATGAGAAATTTGGGAAATGTCTAAACACGGAACTTCAAGGCAAGCAAACAGATGCACGGGTCTGCCGCTAGGTCAGAGAACAGTAAGCCAAAGTTGTAAAGATACACATACCATCAGAAGGCCCTGTAATGACTTGGCTTAGAAGCTGGATCATGTAGAAAACCATGATGCACAACATCAACACTTCCTTACACTCACTCTCCTAATTCACAAGTATCTTTACAGAATTCCACATTAAAATATACATATTTTAACATATCTGGCTTGTTTCACCTGTTATTATATTTTTGAAACGCATCTGCATTATTTTACATAAATGGAGTTTTGTAAAACTTGGTAGATATAAATATATTATTCATGTGTCTTTGTAACCTTTTCATTTTCTAATTTTTCATTGTTAGAAGCAATGTTTCCACAGCCCTCTTGTACCTGTTTTTGGTAAATGTTCCCATTTTGTGAGAATATACTTTTGGTTAATACATACTGAGTGATAATGTATGTGAATATCCATCAAGGATAGATACTTACAGATTAATTTTAGGTAAGGATGTATCAATATAAGAGCTCACAGAGAACACATAAAGTGGCCCACAGCTCTTTATCCTTAATGAAAATTTATATTGTCAGTTTGTTAATGGTTCAAGCTGCTGGCATTACAACAGCAACATACTGGGGTTGTACTTATCACTTCCTTGGTCACAAATAAGATTCAGTGTATTAAGGATTGTCTCTGTGGAGTGACTGTTTATTCAGTTTCTCATACTTGTTTATACTTATGTTTAACAACTTCATTATAAACCTTTTGCTGATTATATGTATGGCAAATATATTTTTTACTATGCAATTTTAAAAAGAGAATTGCATATTAATTAGGTCCTTGACATCACTTAGAGTAGAGAGAAAGTCTATAAACTTTGCAGTCATTCTTTAGAAGATGCAAAATAACCCTGAAATGGAACAATAAAGCATCATGGAGCTTCTCACAAGTCTTTTCTTCACTTCGCTTGCACTTGGCCTCCAGTATTTCCCTCGGCCTACATTCAGTTAAATGTCCCTCCTATATATCCTGCAAATCTTTTATCTATCTATCTCACACTAAGTAAATCTTATTTTGTATTGGTCATACTCCATGAAAGTATTCTTACTGGAAAACGTTGCCTCAGACCTGGCAAAGTCTCCCAAACATGGAAGTATGGGAAACAAATTAAAACACTGTCTTTCTATCAAAGAGTTAAATGTTGCCTGGGGAGGGAGATTTGAGAGATGGTGTTTTTTTAAAAAAAAAAAAAAAAAAAACTTTTAAAGATAGAATTTCCTTTGTCTCATTTAACTCTTTCTAACTACGGAATCTTTCTGAGACTAGACACTCTAATGTGGCATTGATATGATAGTAAAGTTTCAGACTTTAAAGCACTACAGAGAATATGGCCCCATTACAATTGCTTCTGCATTTTTACACAAGTTTTATGAAGGGACAAAGGAGAGTTTTGATCATTAGTTGGTACCTCTGAATACTTTGTTTCCCTCTATTTCCTAATAGGTAACGTGTGTCCTGAGTAGTAGTTTTCTAGCTTTAAATAATTTCATTTAATATAAGATTGAAATGGGTTTTTATCCCTGTGTTTAATTATACAAGAATTCCATTTTGTATCATTTCAGTTTTAATTTTATTTTCAAGTCACAAAATGAATTACTGCTTTTAAGGCAAAAGTAAGAAAGCACAGTAATAAGTAAAATGTAACTTATTACATTTTAAATTTTAAACACAATAATAATACTGAACTGGTTGGTACCATTTGATTAAGAAAATAAACTCAGAAAATCCCTGTGATTGACATAATATTTTGAACTCTGGTGGCTGGTTTTACATATTTCAACATTTTAGAGGCTGAGGAGATGGCTCATTTGGTAAAATGCCTGCCACGCAAGCAGGCGGATCTGAGTCAGGGTCCCCAGCACCCATGTTAAAAGCTAGACATGGTGGTATGCATCTGTAACCCCAGCACTGACTGGGTAGAAGGAGACAGGTGGATTCCTGGAGCTCACTGACCAGCCAACCTAGCCAACTCAATACGTTCCAGGTTCAGTGAGAGACCTTGTTAAAGAAAAACAAGATGGAGCTCAATCAACAAATACACCAAACATCAACCTCTGACCTCCATATTCTCTCACACACACACACACACACACACACACACACACACGCACACATGCACATACATTTGAATGCACATGTGTACACACCTTCATGAACATGTAAATACAACAAACACACACACACAAAAACTTCAATTATGTCTTTAGCTTTGCTTTTATTTCATTTTGAATTATAGATACAAAAATGTATTTTTTAAAGGTGAAAGATTTATACAATCTGAAGAGAGATAAGAGTATTATATACTTTAAAAGTTATTACACTGAAGAGACACACAAAACAGATTTTGTTTTGAGATAGGATGTAACCCAGGCTGGCCTCAAACTCTCAAGAATCCAACTGCCTCTACCTCCCAAGTGCTGGGATTAAAGGAGTGTACCCCCATACCAGGCCAAAACAGAATTTTTGGAAAAATCAATTACAACAAAGTCTTCAATGAATAATTTAAGAAGTAAAGAATAATGTGAAAAGCATCATTTCATTCAGGACAACAATCAGTTTAGCACACTTAATATCTAAAGGGCAATTTTACAAGAGAAATTAAATTCCCCCCATGAAAGACATTATTTTCAAAAACAGGTTGCATCAGTAATTCTTAAGCTAGTTGTTGTGGCACATACCTGTAATCCAGGCACTTGGAAAACAGAGGCAGAAAGACGGTGAGTTCAGAGGACAACCTGCTCTACACAGAGAGACCCCAATCTCAGGAACAAAGAGATTCTAAAAGTTTGTAGTCCACCATCATAGTAAGCTAGTCATAGCTGACTACAAACCTAACACAGATATAAAACATGAACAAAATTCATTCAGCATCTGTGCCAGAATTCTGAAAAGTAAATAGAAGGACAGTGGGAAATAAAACCACAAATCAAATATACATTGAATTCTGTGGTTAGTATACTGAGCTGGTATGATATCTTATGTAGGTCAGGTTTATTAAATATATGCTATGATTTCAATGAATGTCCCCTATGTGTCCATATGTAAAGGATTCATCCTTTTATAAGTTATTAAGAGATGGTATAGGCCCTTAGCAGGTGTGGCATACTGGGAGGTCCTTCAGTAGGTCATTGAAGGCATACCTTCAAAAGGGATTACTAGATGGGGCCCATATCTTCTCTGTTTCCTGGTTTGAGCTGTGAGTATTTTCTCTAATATATACAATCCCTATGAGGTCCTACTTTCTCAGAAACCCAAATCTGAGGAGCCATCTAATTGTGTATTTGAACCTCATGACTCATGGATTAAAAAACCTTTCATCAAAGACAGCCTGTATCATAAACTTCATTGTACTGATGCAAAGCTAACTCAATGCAAGTTTACTTATGATATTTCCAACTTATGATAGGTTTGGAGATATATGACAGGACGACCTGTATTCAAAATGCTCAACATATAATATAAAATTACTTAGCATAAAATGAAACAGAAAAATACCAACTCACATGTGGATATCAGCAGCTGTTTATGCTAAAATGGCATTGATGTTGTAATAATCTGCCAAAGACATCACTAGGTATGTTAAAAATGGTCCAATGAGGGGCTGGAGAGATATTTCAGTGGTTAAGATAAACTTGCCGCTCTTGCAAGGACCAGAGTCTGGTTCCCAGAACCCAGATGATGTCTAACAATCATATGCAACTCCAGTTTCAGGAGCTCCAGTGCCTCTAAAGGCAAGAGACACTCACATGATACACATACATACATGAAGGCAAAGCATTCATACACATAAAATGAAAAAAAGTAATTAAAAAGAATGTTCCAATGAGTAAGAATAATTATGAAGTGAATAGAAAGAGAAGATCTTGATATACACAGAATAAAGAAGAATCAAGTAGAAATTTTAGAACTGAAACATATAAATAAAAATTGTTTTGATAAACTCAGTACCAGTAGAATGAGAGAGCAGTAAACCTCTGTACAGCAATTCTCTCTAAGGTGAAGCAATGCATGCTGTGGGGCTGCTACTGAAGACTCTGGTTTAGAATCAGTAAGTAGTTTCTTTTCTTTTTCTAAAAAGGAAAGAAAAAAGAAAGAAAAGTTTCTATAAGAAAATGATTCATAAATCTCAGGGAGTCCCCTGAAACTTACCAGATTCACAGGCCCTACTTCTCCTACATTCTATAAAAGCAAGGAAACTCTCCCACCTGTGGAACTGTCTGTTAGTCCTGCAAAGCTCCAGGGTTCTAGCTTTCCTGAGCTATCACCCATGCACAGGTGGGCTTGCAGTGATACAACTGCTTTTGAGTCATCCCTGCTCCTGTAAGTAACCCCCTAAAAATTCATTGGTTAACCAAGTTAGACTTTGGTGGTCTACAACTTTAGTAAAAACATTGATTCCTTTTCTGGGATGAGTAGGTGTTTGTTTACATCTCCCCAGGAGCAGTGTTACCCAACATAAACTTAGTAAAGTGATGGTTAATCTTGATAGGATTTAGAATTTCCATCTCATGACCTACACCTCTGGGCATATCTGTGAGAATATTTCCAGTCAGATTTAACTGAATAGGGAAGATCTATCCTCAATGCAGGAGGTACCATCTCATGGACCGGGTCCTGTAATGAGTGAGAAAGAGAAAGCCAGCTGTACAAAAGCATTTATGTCTGTTTTCTGACCCCATAAATACTGAGCAAGATGCACAGAGGAAATGTCACATGATGATGGCTGAATTAGGAGTCCTTTATTAATAGCTGGTGTTCATAGAGGGGACTAATGCCCAAAAGAATTCTAGACCCCAAAGAGAAGTAGGGCAGGGTTTATAAAGCTTAACACCACAATTACATCATGCCAGGCCAGGAGCAAAGCCAACAACCACAGTTACACCAGACCAGGCAGATTAGTTAACAAAGAGGTTTTCAATTAACAAAAAGTTTTGGTTAGGATGGGTGGGAGACATGCTACCTAGATGTGCTACCTGGTTACTAGTAAGTTTTCCAATATTGTAGAAACAATGTACTCCAAGAAACTGCCTGTATGAGATGTTCTGCCTGGCGGGCTGCCGTGGGCATGGATAGACAACAACACAAAAAAGCAAAAGCAAAACAAAATAAAGTTAGTTTTGCCATTTCATTCCCCCTGGCCTTAGGGCGGAGTCAAAGCATTGGCTCAGTATCCTCAGGTGACAGGGGGTTGTACTTGGATCCAGGAGGAGAAGGCTGAGAGTTCTTGTCAGGCCCGGAAACAAGGTAGTCAGCCATGGATACCAATAAAACCAGTTATGGAACCAGGAACTGTTGCCCTCTCTCTCTTTTCAGAATAGGTGGCAGGGTAGAGAGGAGGGAATGGAGGGGCTGTCTCAGACATTGAAATGGACTGTAGCCTGGACCTGTTGGAGAGACTGAAGATCCTTTAAGAGAGACTGATCAGTAATTTTTAGAATAGTGACCCTTAGTCTAGGCAGAAGAGGTGGCCTTTTGAACATAATCTTATATGGGATGAAACCCATCTTATAGGGCATACATCTAACCCAGAGGAAGTCCAGGGACAAGACCAGGGACAGGAGGTTGAGACAGTTTTCGCTGGTCTCTGAGATTAATATAGCATTATTTGAGACAATTGACACAGGTAGCCCAAACCTAGGAATTTTCTGATGTAGGAGGCTTTTTACTATCATGAGGCAAAGGCCTCCATCCAATCAAAGAATGTGTCCATAAATACCAGAAAGTAGTTCAATCAGTTTGATGGCACCCAGGTGGGTTGTTCGATGAAGCTGGTCCACAAGGGCTGTAGAAAGGGTGATGCTGAAGTTGTGCAGGGTCCATCATTTCATAGGGTTCTTTTTCTATTTCCTGGAAGTGCAAGTAGCTCAGCAGCCTTCTGCCATGGGAGTGTCAGAGTCTTCTTTCCTTATAGATCATAGTATGGGCATGAAAGAATGACAAAGGCACATCTGCTGTCTGTGAAAATGTTCACCTATTTGTCTGTTTCTCAACATAGGGCCTGGGTCAGGGTGATCAGTTCAGCCTCTGTGGGGAGGTGCCCTGGGGCAAGGCTTAGGCCCAGATAATATCCTGTTATGTGGCCATAGTGGCCTTCCGGGTTCCCTCTGTCACGAAACTGCTTTCATCCATGAATAAGTTGGCATCTGCCTTAGGTAAAGGGGTGCCTTGGAGGTCTAAGCGACTAGCCTGGGGGATGTCCAGTAAATCCTCACAGTCATGTCGGGGCACCTCCATGTTTGTTGGGCATCCGTGTTGGCAGGTTAAGGCTCTGAATGGCTGAGAAGGTGAGATGGGGCTGACCAGCAGACCCTGGTACTGAGTGATGCAGGCATTTGACATCCATTGGCCATTTGCTCCTAAGAGGGACAGGGGTGGGGGAACATTGAGGTTAAGTCTTGGCCCAAGGTGAGCTGGTTGGCCTCCTTCCAGTAGGACACATGCTATCTGCTACAGCACACAGACAGGAGGGCTGTCCTGAAGCTACTAGTTCTAGACACTTGGATAAATACATTCTAGGCCTTTGCCAGGGTCCTAAAGTTTGAGTAAGCACAACTTTTGCAATCCTCTTGGCTTCATAAACAAAAAGGCAGACATCAGATAAGGCTAGAGCTGGGGCTTGGGTTAGGGCCAAGCCTGTTGGAAAGCCCATTCCTTTATCTCTATCCATTCTAAGGGCTGGTCCCCAACCACAACTAAGTAGTGGGGCCTTGCTATTTCAGTGAAACCCAGAATCTAAAGTTGGCAATATCCCACTGCCCACAGGAATTTGCATACCTGTTTTTTAGTCTAGGGCCTGGGAATCTAAAGGATGATTACCTTCTGAGCCACAGTGAGGGTCCTCTTACCTCAAGAGAGTTGTATCCCAAGTAGGAGCCTTCCCTCTGGTAAAGTTAAGCCTTCTTTGTGGAGATATGGTATCTCAAGGCCTAGAGCAGCTGGAACAGGTCTTGAGTGTGTCTTGCAGGCAGGCAGCTGGTTCAGTAGCACCTAACAGGAAGTCATCCATATACTGGAGCAGTGTTGAGTCAGGATGAGAGGCTCTGAAGCTTGTTAGGTCCTTTGGAAGGGCTTCTCCAAACAGTGTAGGGTAGGGGATTCCCACTAGAAGAATCTGGTAAAAAGTGTTCAATGCTCCAGAGCAGTCAGGACCTGAGGCTTTCAGAAAACAAGGGAGTGATCACATGCAGGGCCCTCATGGTCCGATACATGACCCTGGATCCCAAGTTCTGGATCCTCTGGTCACTGATTACAGTCAGGGTCAGGGAGGCCCTGAGTCCTTGGGAGTGAGAAGAGGAAAAGAGAAACCCTGTGCAGCATGCCGGGTGTGGGAAACAGACAGTGGAACCCTCATTTCAAGGAAAGGTGTGTGGTGGGCATCTATTCAAGGTACCCAGAGGCAGGAACTGAGCAGTTCCTGTGACTATCCCAGCCACAGGTCCTGCATGTCCTCCCTTGGGAACCCTGATAGGGCTGGGGCTCCAGGCAGAAGACAGATGGGGAGGAGGGCTGGAGTTTGGCAGAACACTTGTACACATTCATAGGATCTTGGGTAAGTAACATAGCACTAAGTAACTGGCACTGAGGGGGACATCCCTGGAACTTCTTTCATGGTTCAGCTGGGAGGGGTTGAGAGCACTGATCTGACTGCTGTAGATAGGGTGGCAGGAAATCTGGTCACATGGAGGAAGGCTATGGCCCGCTGTCTTGGAGTTTAGGGCACTGCCAGTACATACAGGAGTCCATAGAACAGTCATAGCTTCACAGCAACCTTAAGTCAGGGTCCATATCAGGACCCAAGGGACAAGTACCCCGAGTAGACAGATGCAGTAGCAGCAGCTTTTGAACAACCACAGAATAAAGGAGGAAACACCTCACTGTATTCCATCAGTATTAGTAGTTACTTGGAGTTTTTTTTATTTTAATCTTCCCCAGATCCATTTACAGGAAGTGTGAGGAGGACTGAAAAAGCTTCTGGAATGAAAGGGAAAGGACAGCGAGGGTGGTCTTAGGTTTGCCATGTTATCTCATTTCATGGTTTTTCATTTGTCTACCTAGTCAGTTCTATCAGGCCAGCAGGACCATGAGGTGAGAAAGTCTGTGAGAAAGAACAGATGGAAGCATCCAGCCCCCAAGATCAGAAGAAAGGGGATGTACAGGAAGGCAAAAACAACACTGTTCTATGCCATACTTAATACAGAGATTTATTTACAGCATTTTTAAAATGTTTGCTTTTATTGGTAGATATTTTATGTAATGGTTAACACTGACTTGAATTAGTCACTATTATAAACCTAAAATGGCACAGGGCATTAGTCCTCCTTCCCTTTTCCTTTGAAGAATACATTGCCATTTTAAACATAAACATTTCACAATCAAGAATCATTATTCTTTTTTCTCCTATGAAGAAATCTAACCAAAATTAAACCAAAGCAAGCAAAGTTTACTGGGTTTTTTTTTTTAAACCAGTTTTTACAATTTACTACATTTCCTTCAATTGGCCCCTTTCTGTCTCCTTTTATATTCTGGTACAACCAGGCATTTTAATTTTAGACAAAACTATTTTATAGACAACATAAAATCTTTAAAACTTGAGGCCTTCCCCATACCATAGTCCATCCCTTTATATGTGGGTCCCAAATATACCAACCTTATTCTGCTTTCCTTTGAGCTCCTGAGGAGCACATCTGAAGATGGAAGGGAAGGAGCAACAGACATTCTGAGCTAATAAAAAGTGAGTGGGCGCCTGGCTTTCTTTGTTTCGTTTTGTTGTTGTTATTGTTTTTTTCTTTTTTTTAGTAAAAAGACAAATAGAAGAGCACTTCCTTAGGACCAGTCATCTAGAGATAAACGCCAACTCATGCCCTCAGAAGGTGGAGAAAGTGCTACAAGGAAAAGGGTCCTAGAGAGTTCATCACCTGTCCTAACATCTGGGAATACTATTTTCAGAGAGAAGAGAAATGAGTCCCAGACTGGGGAAGTTCAGCCTGACTGAAGCCCTTTCATTTTTCCCTTCATTTTATCAGCACAGAAGGGGCAGACAATAGGCTTCACTGGGCAGCACCCCGGCTACAAGTCCTGAGCTACATTCCATTTCCTCCCCCTTTTCCCATTGCAGAGGGTCTGGGGAGACAGGAAAGGAACTCAGAAGCAACTTCAGACTTTCAGAACTGGAGCCACAGAGAAAAGACCTGTGGATCTTGCAGAGCAGTGAAAACCTCAATGAAAAATACTTGGGGGGTGGAGAGGACAGGCCACAAAGACAGGTTAAGGGAAAAGGGAGTGCCCTGGGCATGGAAGGGGGCTGCTCAGCAGGATAGAGAGAGCAGAAAGATGCAAGGCAGCCACAAGACTGTCAGAATAGAATAGAGAGTGAGTAGTTTTAAGGCAGTGGCAGGAGATAGGAACAAGGAGTTTATCAAAACCACCAATCTTGGAGGGCAGGCTGGCTCGCCAGTCCTCAGTGAGAATCAGAGAGGAAGGAAAAGGGGAAAGTCACAGGGCAGCAGTTGAAACAAAGGACATACTCTCATTCCACAAAAGACAAGACAAAAATCAGGACCCTCTAGACAGGTGCTGTCCAGAGCAAAACTCACATCATAGACAGGTGCTGTCCAGAGCAGAACTCATGATGTCCGACTGCCCAGTCACTCATTCAGCCATATAATGATCCATATATATAAACCAGACGTGAACAGAGACCAGAGTAATCAGTTTCCAATTGTGTACCAGTTTACTAGATGACCTCAGCCAAAGTTTTGACTATAAAGAAAGGTCAAGGGACGTTCTTCATCAAAGTCACACTCCCATTATTTAATACCAGAACAGACCAGACCAGAATGGAGCTCCAAACCAGAAATAACAGAACTTAGTCCTAGGAGGACCACAAGGACTCAATTAGTTTTGGTTTCGGGGTCACACAGCAGTCATTCCAGACTCTGGCTCTGATGAGAGTCACCAGCGCCCTGGAATGTCTCAAGGGGTGCTTCCCCTGTAACAATTTGTCAAGCTGGGGAGATCTATTGCAAAGCTGTGCCACTGAGTGATGATCTCATCACGCATGATGTACACTACATAATGATGGTCAAATTAGAAGTCCTTTACTAATAGCTGGTGTTCAGAGAGGGGACTAATGCCCAAAAGAACTCTCAACCCTAAAAAGAAGTAGAAAAGGGTTTATAAAGTTTAAAACCACAATTACATAATTCCAGGGGCAAAGTAAATAAACATAGTTATATCAGTTCATCATGGTTACACCAGACCAGGTACAAGTCAATTAACAAAGAGGTTTTCAGTTAACAAAAAGCTTTACTTAGGCTGGGTGGTAGGGTATGCTACCTGGACATGCTACCTCGCTACTTACAAGTTTTCCAGGATTGTAGAAACAATGTACTCCCTGAAACTGCCTGCATGAGATGTTCTGCCTGGCTGGCTACAGTGGGAATGGATGGGTAAAAACACAGGGTAAAGCAAAAGTCAGATAGACCAGGAATTAGTTTTGTCATTTCAACTGGATAAATATGACCAGCTGCCTAATGCTCCTGCCACCAGGACATACACTCAAATTCTGAGCCAAAGAAACTCTTCCTTTAAAGTTGATTTTGTCAGGTATTCTGTCACAACAATGAGAAGATCATTTCGGAAAAAAATCCACAGGAATAAAGATTTTAAATTGAAGTAGGACCTCTGGAATCTGTGAAGTTATAAGGCAGGATTAATATTTATCATCCTAATTCTAGACAGCGACAAGAAATAATACATTGTTTATGATTTTTTACATAGAAAGTTCCAGGCCAGCTGAATTTACAAACTAACTTTAAAGCATAATTTAAAAAAAAATAATAATTTGCATGGAGGTACCCTGCATGGGTGGATAATGTCAATCCCAGAAGCTATGGGTTGTTAAATGAAAACCTCAATGTTAAATGTGGGATACCTTCTTGAGATGTTTGCCAGGAAGGCTCCAAGTCACACACACACACACACACACACACACACACACACACACACACACACCCGCCAAACAATACAGGTTCTTGCCACTGGTCTGGGTGATTCACCAGAAATAAATGTTAAGACTATGTTGCTGGGTGGTGATTAACAGAGACCTAGTCTGATTAACACAACTGGTCAACCTGCAGAGTGCTAATCCCTGAATTAGACACCTATTTCAAACATCTGCTTCCCAAGTGTCAGGGATCATTACAGAAGAGGGACCGGAAAGACTGTAAGAGCCAGAGAAAGTGGATGACCACAAGGAAACAGAGTTTTCCAGAAACTGAAAAGCTGGGCAGACACTCACACGAACTCACAAAATGGTGACAGCATGCATAAGACCCATGTACGCTTAAGTTAAACTCCCAGCATAAAAATGGGGAAGTGGGTAACCAGTCCCAGCTGAGGAACCATTGGCAACTGATAGCTGCTGGGATGGGGAAAATCACTTTTAAGTGTGTGGTGCTGGGTAGGTCACCCAGGCTCCAACGGATAGATCTGCACCAAAGGGCATTGGCAGACACAAATTTGACTTGATGGAATAGGTCTTAAATATATAATATATATTTGTACATATGTGTGTATATAAATAGATAGCATACATGAAATCATATGGAGGTAGTAAAAGGGTGAAGATAGAGAAGTAGATTTAAATATGATCAAAACATATTGTATAAAATTAAAAAAAAAATTTTAAACACCCCCATTGCTGAAGATACCATGAATTTTGGATACAAAACAGATAAATCATGCTGAAACTGAGGTGGAAGAGTCTTCTGTGCTGACTAGCTTTCAATGTGGAAAGGTTCTATGAAGGCTGCTAGGTGGAAAAGTCATCAGTAGTCTTACTTAGTTAGCTTGGACCTTGCATGCTACAATACTGACCTACAAGGCAAGATGTGCTCACTGGTGAAATCGTGGGTACAACCTGTTTTCTGAATGGCTATGAGGCCTTCTCAGTAAAATGAGTTAATGCCTAGTATAGTGGATCTGGTAAATGGGTCATAGCTAGAGAGCTCATAGACCTAAAGGCTAAATGGACATGATATCAAACTACCTCCTAAATATTTAAGCTCATACCTATACACTAGTGCTGCAGTCTTGCTCGATCGGGGAAACCTCTTTTGCAGTGAACAGTAGTTAATGCAAAGACTTATGGCCGGTCAAGGTGCTGAGACTATTCAGTGTTCAGCTCACTAGTTCACGAGACATTGATATCACTCATTCTAATACTCAGGGAAGATCATGGAAGAAGGGGTGGAAAGAATGTAAGAAGCCTGTGAGCAGGGTAGGACCATGAAATGCTGTCTTCTAGGCATGACATGGCCAATGCACTCAAACTCACAGCAGCTAATGTTACTTGCATAGGGTGTGCACAAAACTGGGCCCACTGACAGTCATAAATGGAGGCGAGAGCTCATGAGGCACCTCCCCAGAGAGCTACTGGCAGTTGATGGCTACTGGAGAAGGTGGAGTCATTGTCTTCAGGGATGTAGACACTGACGAGTTACATATGCTCCAGTAGTCAGCTCTATTCCCACGCTTATGGGGGCAGGCCTGATTAAACACAGTGGATCACAAAACAAAACAAAAAGCCAGGACAGTGGGACAGAAACTTATTGAGAGGAGCAGAAGGGGAAAGGGGTTCATAGGAATGGGACAGTGATAAAAGGGGCTAGGGTAGTAAGTGCAACTTGAATATCTTATGTACATGTATGAAATTGTTGAAGAGTTATTCTTTTTTAAAGTACTGGCTTATATATTAAGATATTCTAGGAAGGTAGCAAACCTGGAGAAGTTTAGAACTAGTTCCCTCTAGCTTTCATTCTGCTTCTCTTTGAGCATTATCATACTTTACCTGGCTCTGATAACTCCCTTCAGATATTAACTATAGCCAAAGTGGTTCCTGGTTCACATCCTCTCAGCTGATCTTCCCTCTTAAGGCAACTTGAAAAACATCTCAGAGGGTTCTGATTGACTTTCTTGAATAATATGACCATCTCATGGACTCGCAGGAACAGAAAACTGTGACTAAACTGGATCAAGTTTCATTCCTAGGTAATCCCTGAAAGCAAGGAAAGCAGAAGAATTCATTCAGAATATGTCAGAAAAAAGTATTTCTCGCAAGTGAGGAGGTATACTTTTCCCAAAGGAAATGAAAACTGGCTGCTAGGCAAAACACTGCATGCCAGCTACTTATCTAACCTTAAACACTGCAGCAACTGTCTTAACACTTGAAGATGAAGGATCTGGGAAATCATTAAATGTAGAAAGTGGTTATTGGGAAAATATTTAAATGAACTTACCTGATCTTTACTGGGACTTTTTTACTCATGCTAATTGTTTTCAATCTTCTGCAAGAATACATGACTTTTTTAGAGTAGTCAATGTGTGATGGCTAATCTTGTGAAGCTGACTGGGGTGAGAAATACCTAAATTAGTACAGCACCACTTCAGGGGCTTCTGGATAGCATCTGCCACACTCTCCCTGTCATTATAGACTGACACTTCTGAAACAGTGAGCCAAAATGAATCTTTCCTCCTTTACATTGCTTCTTTGGGTATTTTGGTTATGTCTATGCAAAGGTAACTAATATGCACCCAGTAAAGGAATAAACAGTTCAAAGAGGGTCATTTTTGATCATTTTATAGTGAGTTGTTACAAAACATAAGTGAAAAGTAATTAATTCATAATTAAGTTTTACAGGCATAAATCAGGAGAAGGCTATACAGATATAAAATAGAACAGAGATGCTTTCTTGGAGATGAATGAGAGGTCATATGAAAAAAATAACTCAAAAACAGTGAGTTAGAAACTCATCTGGGGGGAATGCTCTCATAATGTGAGGAAAAAGATAGTAAAATAAAAATTCTAGATGGGCATCAGAAAAACTAGAAAGATCTGGGAGATTAAATAATAACAGCTTCAGAAACAGAAAGGAAAAAAAAAAACTAGAACT